TATATATATATATATATATATATATATATAAATTTAAAAATTAAGTATAAGTTTCTACTAAACAACCTCATAGAATTTGAAATTGCTCTTCATGGACAATATTAAATACTAAAAAACTATGGCACCGACATTATTAATTTTTATTTATTTATTATTTTTATTTTTTATGATAACTCAAGTGTCCAAGTTTCGCCTGACTAATCTTGAGGAGTGGCGGCCTTCCTCCCTGGTTCACCACCTAGGTAAATTCGGATGCGGACACAGCTTATACATACTTGGGCCGGACATTTGGGATGTGATTTTCCTCTCTATAGATCTTCCTTTATGACATGCGGACCGAACCCCCAGAGGAGCGACAAAGCGCACCATGACTTTGCCTTCATCAGACAACTGTCTTCCAACAAAAATGTTGGCTTCCAGGTGCCGTGAGGATTCAAACCTCCAATGCTCCGTGTGGAACTCTTCTACTTTACCATTGCGCCATGCTCGTGGGGCAACTATGACACCGACATTAATTACATGAGAGGTAACACATGCGTTATCAATATAAGCATACCTGTAACGGCTGCAAGATGGGATAAATAGGTGGATAATGCCATTTTTTTAATTGACACATTGGTCTCTTTCTTGCTTTGTGAAGTGTTTTTGGATTTGAAAAATGGGCCCATATGATTTCGCGGGCGAAATTAGTGAAAACAAAAAAATAACGAGTGAAAATTTTGCATATTCAATATTGGAACAACGTGTAAGTTTTCTTAAGGAAAGAGAGATAAGATTTGATGAGTTCGAAGCAACAAAGAAATAAATCAGATTCCTTCATTAAAATAAGCGTGATAAATTCGTGTTGATAAAGTGTTATAAATTAGAGAAAAAAAAAGTAAAGAAGTCAATAAACTTTTGTGTATGTTATTAAGAATCAAACCCCATATTTATAGAGGAAAATTAGACCCGCAATGGATACAATGACCATAATAGCTAGGACTGTAAGGTATGATTGTCATTCATTAAGAAATATATTATTTACAACACAATTCTATTTTTGGATAATTTGGGATTTTTAGTGGAAAATAGAAAATAATTAATTCTTTTGGGATATCATTTTGTTGCTTGGTCTCTAAGTATAAATTCAGCTAATTTTACTTGCAAAAATGTTTAAATTCGTATATTCTTATATGTTTGTTATTTTAACTTTCAGAGGTTTCGAATTCTTAAAATGTTAATTCATTCGATCTTCTTTTAAAAAGATAGTAATTTATTTGCATAAAATTTATTATTATTTTTTCAAAAAGTTTTGATATTTTTTTCAAATAGCTCTCTGAAAATAGTGTGATATATAGTCTAGATCAATCCATGTAAAAAAATGTACCATTTTCACAAAAGATACGTGGAATTTTATAAATATAACACTCCTGATTTCATTTCATTCAATCAATTAAGTATAATTGAAATCTAAATCCTTATTCTTCAATTTCTGTCAAAATAATTTTCATATTATTTTCAAGATTTAATTTCCAAAAATAAAATATTTGAGATTTTAAGAGTTTCAAGATTTAATTTTTGTTGCTTCTTTTGATTGATTTAGTCAATTTTCGACAAGATAAATTCTTTTACATTTCTTTATTATTTTGTTGACATGTTTTTTGGTTACATAGTTAATATGATTCTTCATTTATGACATAAAATCAAATTTGAACTATGTAAACCTATATTCTAACCATCTTGTTTTATTAATCTGGACTACTTCTGTGTTTTGTCGATGTAGTGAAAATAACACAACGAATAAATCGTACGATTCACTAAGAGTCCGTTTGATTGTAAAAATGAAATTTGGGTGAAAAAACGAATTTCAGAGAATTGAATTGCCTAAAATTTGTTTTACTGGAAATTGTCAATTAAATATATTTAATTGATATAATTTTTTACCTAAAAAATATTGAAATTTTGGATCTTTTGGTGCTTGTTTGCCTTTTTCACGAAAATTGTCAATTAAAGGGATAAAATGATAAAATTTGTTTCAATTGCAAAAAAAATAAAAAAAATAAAAAATGCTGGAAAACCAAAAACCTCCAAACCGAAAACATTTTCCTCAAAAAGGTAGAAAATGGGTTGTGCCAAGTAAACCGATTCCAGGAAAATTTGGCCAATTAGAATGCAAAAAAGGTGGAAAATGAAATTTAATTTCCTAATTCCATGGAAAATTTGTTGTATCGAACCCTAATAGTAAAAGTGTAAAACACAAGTGAATAATAGAGCAAGAACACAAACACATAGAATACACTATATAAACATGTTTGACCGTGCTTATAAGTTAAAGTAAGTCAAGACTTTTAGGAAAACCATCGCATTTCAACAAAATAACTTAGAAGTTTGATTTTCTGCGAGCTTGCAAAATCTTTCTCAAGGAATTTCAGTGCACGACAAGAGCCAAATGGACTGGCAACAAATATTGCAAAAACGGCAATGTTTGAAAACAATCTCATTGTTGAAAAACTATAGTTCCCTACGTTAAATATAACATGAAAGCTTATAAACCCCTATTTGACTGCTGCGATTGCGTAAGCAACCTCAGTTTCTCGTAAGCATCGGAACACGCACGAGCATAGCCTGATAAGGCTCGGAAAAGCTCGGGAAGCCGGCTTTTGAGACTTACGAGTGACTTTTCCCTCACTTGAATACAGTGTTTCTGGTGATCTTCGCATTCATCTTCCCATCTCCTTTTCAAGCTCTCAACCACAAACTGTTTTTCGGCTACTGGATCCTTGACATTCGTTTCTATGCCATTCTCAGGGTCAGTCTCCTCATGTGGAGTTCTGCGCTGCATGTATTTCTGATGCCACTCATCGAATGCCTGTTTTTTACGTAGGTACTCCTTTCTGGTTTCTTCGTACTTTTCCTTGAACTTCATTTCTTCCTCCCGGTGATCAATAATTGTCTTTATCACAGCAGCAAAGGAGGCAATTGCGCTTTTGGCAACTTCATCGGGAAGCTTTTCAAGGTGATCGTGCCAAGAATGAAGAAGCTGTTGGATAGGGGGCGCCTGAACTCTCGGAGGGGATGAGCTTTTGTCTTTTAAGCTGCTCCCAATCGGTATGAGATTTAGCTTCAACCATCTGTTAAGAGCATGGATGTATTGTCTTTGATTATTCACTAGCTTTTCGAATTGTGAATGCCATTGTTGGACGACGTTCCAAAGCTGTGTCGTACACTCTTGATGATGTTTGCTCGTTTCAATGAGAATCCCAGAGACGTTGAGGGATTTGAGATCCATCACAATTCTTAGCTGGATTTCATGATGCATGCACATGGATTCCCACATCGTCGCCATCCTTCAAGTTCATTAACAAATTACTTGAAAATAAGAAAGAGAACAACCAGTTCAAAAACCATATGGCTATAAAATACATGGGGAAAAATGCTGGCCTATTAGTCATTAGTGGCAAAAATCGATATAACTCGTAGAAGGCATGTTTAAGTGGTTAAAGAACTAGAGCATCACAAAAATTCAGAGAAGCGAACTAACTACAGGACTCTGCATAAATGATTTCAATGAACGTCCCCGTGTACTGATTTTAACAAACCTCGTTATGAGGGTGTAAATTTTACATTAAACTGATATGAGTTCAGCTGAAAACTGGTTCAACTTCAAACCGAACATAAAGAACTGCAAAAGAACCCAATTTTAGAAGTCAAAATATGAAGGGTCCTTTTTGATTCTGAACATGAGTACATAACCACTAATCCCACAGAGCGCAGACAGTAGGCACCAGTAGGTTTTCATGTATAATCCGATTTTAAAACCAAGCGCATGAAAGTGGACCATTTTATGCCAAAACAGCAAACTAATAATCTGGATTGCCAATTATGGATCGAATCTCTGGGTTTCTTGTTCAGTTTCTCAATAGAATTATGGAAGTGGTGCTGGATGAAAAACATTACGGAATGAAATGGAACGAGTTGAGTTATAAGGAGAATCAAAGCTTAAAATGTCAAACCGAATTGACACTTACACATAGTAAGTAGCATCAAATAACCAATTCAACGCCGTTGTAAATGGCATCTTAAATATCCTGCAAAAATGGCAAAAAAATAGAGCAAAAGAATAGAAAATTACCCATGAACAAGAGCCACAAGTTTTGGATACAGCTGCTTGTCGCGTATATCATTCACTTCCGACACCGTTGTATCCAATGATTGCATGTCAACAATATACCGTGTATGCAAATGGCTAACAGCAGCTTTTGCCTTCTCCAATTGTTCAGAACTAGCACCGCGTTTTCTCAACTTGTTCAGCACAGAAACTTTGCGCTGATATTCAACCTTCATAACCTCACCAGTCTATGAGCACAATGCAAACACATGCCAAGAAAAATCATAAGAGTACAATAAACAGTATGGGATATCAAGATATATAGATACAAAAATGCCTAGTGGTCTGCCACAAGATCCAAAAAGAACCAACGACGAGAAAACTCCAGTTTTGCACTAATCAGCTGGAGAGTTAAATAAAAGACACAAGGGAGTTTTCATTTCTAAAGGTAGCACAACTGTTCATTTTTATCCAATTCTCTAACACAAGAAAGGAGAATGAATCAAAACCATAAAGCAAATTGCCTCGTAATTAATTACAAAAGAATAAATCTATTTAAAATGGCCAAAGTTAGAATGAGAAAATGAGAAATAGCCACCTCCTAAATTGCCACCTACTCCCCTTCTTTCTTTAGTTAAAATGTCATAATCCCCAAAAAAGTCATGGATTCTGCTTCTTCTGTCATATAGTGGGTGAAGGTAGAGAATCCACTGCCTTTCCTTGCTTTCATTGCCCAAAGACTCTTGTGCTTATGTGTTGGTTTACTACATTTGTTTTACTAAAGAAAGTTTTTGCTTGTTGAGGTATTGGATGGTTATTATATTTGAAACTTTCATATATTTAGAAAAACTCGACCATTGGGTAGCACTGATCGAGTTAAGGTGCCTTTTACAAGGTCAAATATCAGAAACGGATGAAGGCCATTTGGCCTGTAACTAAAGCCTTTTAAACCAAAAATTGAGAGAAGGCTGTTTTTCATTTTAACCATTAAAATAAGGCCAATTTGAAAATTTACCCACTACTAAATTCAAAAAAGAACATGAATAAATTGCAAATGAAGTGCAAATAACTAAAAGAAAAGGATGCAATGCACCTTCACTTCTTCATATAGTTTTTTCTCCCACGCTAGCAATTTATCCAAAATTGTGGCATGTGTCTCATATTCTTCAGCCTCGAAGTTATCTGTGGATCCATCACCGTTAGGTACACCTCTAAAAGAGTTGTTCCATGTAATAACTTGCATGACTCTTGCTGCATGGTCAATGCGGCCTGAAAATAAATGGTATTATCAATCAATTTGTTAGATGGCTGACAGCTGATCTATCAGATTGTTACAGTTTTTCACATTAATTTGTAACATAGAGATATGGCAAAAATATTAACAGTTGTATGGAAACTGAAATCTTCTATGAGACGAAAACTGGTGAAATCATGAGATCTACAGCAACAGGCGGGTTTTTTAGTATGGGGTCAGCTGCCTCCCCACATAATTTCAAATCCTTTATAAAAAATATTGAAATTTTGGATCTTTTGGTGCTTGTTTGCCTTTTTCACGGAAATTGTCAATTAAAGGGATAAAATGATAAAATTTGTTTCAATTGCAAAAAAAATAAAAAAAATAAAAAATGCTGGAAAACCAAAAACCTCCAAACCGAAAACATTTTCCTCAAAAAGGTAGAAAATGGGTTGTGCCAAGTAAACCGATTCCAGGAAAATTTGGCCAATTAGAATGCAAAAAAGGTGGAAAATGAAATTTAATTTCCTAATTCCATGGAAAATTTGTTGTATCGAACCCTAATAGTAAAAGTGTAAAACACAAGTGAATAATAGAGCAAGAACACAAACACATAGAATACACTATATAAACATGTTTGACCGTGCTTATAAGTTAAAGTAAGTCAAGACTTTTAGGAAAACCATCGCATTTCAACAAAATAACTTAGAAGTTTGATTTTCTGCGAGCTTGCAAAATCTTTCTCAAGGAATTTCAGTGCACGACAAGAGCCAAATGGACTGGCAACAAATATTGCAAAAACGGCAATGTTTGAAAACAATCTCATTGTTGAAAAACTATAGTTCCCTACGTTAAATATAACATGAAAGCTTATAAACCCCTATTTGACTGCTGCGATTGCGTAAGCAACCTCAGTTTCTCGTAAGCATCGGAACACGCACGAGCATAGCCTGATAAGGCTCGGAAAAGCTCGGGAAGCCGGCTTTTGAGACTTACGAGTGACTTTTCCCTCACTTGAATACAGTGTTTCTGGTGATCTTCGCATTCATCTTCCCATCTCCTTTTCAAGCTCTCAACCACAAACTGTTTTTCGGCTACTGGATCCTTGACATTCGTTTCTATGCCATTCTCAGGGTCAGTCTCCTCATGTGGAGTTCTGCGCTGCATGTATTTCTGATGCCACTCATCGAATGCCTGTTTTTTACGTAGGTACTCCTTTCTGGTTTCTTCGTACTTTTCCTTGAACTTCATTTCTTCCTCCCGGTGATCAATAATTGTCTTTATCACAGCAGCAAAGGAGGCAATTGCGCTTTTGGCAACTTCATCGGGAAGCTTTTCAAGGTGATCGTGCCAAGAATGAAGAAGCTGTTGGATAGGGGGCGCCTGAACTCTCGGAGGGGATGAGCTTTTGTCTTTTAAGCTGCTCCCAATCGGTATGAGATTTAGCTTCAACCATCTGTTAAGAGCATGGATGTATTGTCTTTGATTATTCACTAGCTTTTCGAATTGTGAATGCCATTGTTGGACGACGTTCCAAAGCTGTGTCGTACACTCTTGATGATGTTTGCTCGTTTCAATGAGAATCCCAGAGACGTTGAGGGATTTGAGATCCATCACAATTCTTAGCTGGATTTCATGATGCATGCACATGGATTCCCACATCGTCGCCATCCTTCAAGTTCATTAACAAATTACTTGAAAATAAGAAAGAGAACAACCAGTTCAAAAACCATATGGCTATAAAATACATGGGGAAAAATGCTGGCCTATTAGTCATTAGTGGCAAAAATCGATATAACTCGTAGGAGGCATGTTTAAGTGGTTAAAGAACTAGAGCATCACAAAAATTCAGAGAAGCGAACTAACTACAAGACTCTGCATAAATGATTTCAATGAACGTCCCCGTGTACTGATTTTAACAAACCTCGTTATGAGGGTGTAAATTTTACATTAAACTGATATGAGTTCAGCTGAAAACTGGTTCAACTTCAAACCGAACATAAAGAACTGCAAAAGAACCCAATTTTAGAAGTCAAAATATGAAGGGTCCTTTTTGATTCTGAACATGAGTACATGGACTCTGCATAAATGATTTCAATGAACGTCCCCGTGTACTGATTTTAACAAACCTCGTTATGAGGGTGTAAATTTTACATTAAACTGATATGAGTTCAGCTGAAAACTGGTTCAACTTCAAACCGAACATAAAGAACTGCAAAAGAACCCAATTTTAGAAGTCAAAATATGAAGGGTCCTTTTTGATTCTGAACATGAGTACATAACCACTAATCCCACAGAGCGCAGACAGTAGGCACCAGTAGGTTTTCATGTATAATCCGATTTTAAAACCAAGCGCATGAAAGTGGACCATTTTATGCCAAAACAGCAAACTAATAATCTGGATTGCCAATTATGGATCGAATCTCTGGGTTTCTTGTTCAGTTTCTCAATAGAATTATGGAAGTGGTGCTGGATGAAAAACATTACGGAATGAAATGGAACGAGTTGAGTTATAAGGAGAATCAAAGCTTAAAATGTCAAACCGAATTGACACTTACACATAGTAAGTAGCATCAAATAACCAATTCAACGCCGTTGTAAATGGCATCTTAAATATCCTGCAAAAATGGCAAAAAAATAGAGCAAAAGAATAGAAAATTACCCATGAACAAGAGCCACAAGTTTTGGATACAGCTGCTTGTCGCGTATATCATTCACTTCCGACACCGTTGTATCCAATGATTGCATGTCAACAATATACCGTGTATGCAAATGGCTAACAGCAGCTTTTGCCTTCTCCAATTGTTCAGAACTAGCACCGCGTTTTCTCAACTTGTTCAGCACAGAAACTTTGCGCTGATATTCAACCTTCATAACCTCACCAGTCTATGAGCACAATGCAAACACATGCCAAGAAAAATCATAAGAGTACAATAAACAGTATGGGATATCAAGATATATAGATACAAAAATGCCTAGTGGTCTGCCACAAGATCCAAAAAGAACCAACGACGAGAAAACTCCAGTTTTGCACTAATCAGCTGGAGAGTTAAATAAAAGACACAAGGGAGTTTTCATTTCTAAAGGTAGCACAACTGTTCATTTTTATCCAATTCTCTAACACAAGAAAGGAGAATGAATCAAAACCATAAAGCAAATTGCCTCGTAATTAATTACAAAAGAATAAATCTATTTAAAATGGCCAAAGTTAGAATGAGAAAATGAGAAATAGCCACCTCCTAAATTGCCACCTACTCCCCTTCTTTCTTTAGTTAAAATGTCATAATCCCCAAAAAAGTCATGGATTCTGCTTCTTCTGTCATATAGTGGGTGAAGGTAGAGAATCCACTGCCTTTCCTTGCTTTCATTGCCCAAAGACTCTTGTGCTTATGTGTTGGTTTACTACATTTGTTTTACTAAAGAAAGTTTTTGCTTGTTGAGGTATTGGATGGTTATTATATTTGAAACTTTCATATATTTAGAAAAACTCGACCATTGGGTAGCACTGATCGAGTTAAGGTGCCTTTTACAAGGTCAAATATCAGAAACGGATGAAGGCCATTTGGCCTGTAACTAAAGCCTTTTAAACCAAAAATTGAGAGAAGGCTGTTTTTCATTTTAACCATTAAAATAAGGCCAATTTGAAAATTTACCCACTACTAAATTCAAAAAAGAACATGAATAAATTGCAAATGAAGTGCAAATAACTAAAAGAAAAGGATGCAATGCACCTTCACTTCTTCATATAGTTTTTTCTCCCACGCTAGCAATTTATCCAAAATTGTGGCATGTGTCTCATATTCTTCAGCCTTGAAGTTATCTGTGGATCCATCACCGTTAGGTACACCTCTAAAAGAGTTGTTCCATGTAATAACTTGCATGACTCTTGCTGCATGGTCAATGCGGCCTGAAAATAAATGGTATTATCAATCAATTTGTTAGATGGCTGACAGCTGATCTATCAGATTGTTACAGTTTTTCACATTAATTTGTAACATAGAGATATGGCAAAAATATTAACAGTTGTATGGAAACTGAAATCTTCTATGAGACGAAAACTGGTGAAATCATGAGATCTACAGCAACAGGCGGGTTTTTTAGTATGGGGTCAGCTGCCTCCCCACATAATTTCAAATCCTTTAAATTTTATTTTAAAATCCTTATAGTTATCAATTCTGACTCCACAATTAAAATTTTGTACTTCAAGATTCTGGCCCCCACGATTTTAGTTATAGAAATTTGCTCTCACAAATATACAATCCTAACTCTGCCCCTGCTAACAGAAATCAAGAAACCAACTAAATCTAATTTTCCCAACAAATTTGAGGTAGGTTAATGACTCTTTTTTCACCACTCTATAGGCATTGCTGCATTTGAAGATCCAAAACAACTAGATCTTTAGTAACTACATAAAAAGACCTTCACATTTACACATTTTTGAAATATTGTTGGTGTCAAAAGAGATTAAAGATTTTCAAACAATTTGGATTTTTTAATAAAGTTAAAAACTATAAACAAAATGTCCATGCCAAGAAACTTAATAGGTTAACCTTAAGTGACCAGTTGCAAATAAGGGGCTGAAATTACAAACAGATATTCATGCAGAGAAATGAAAAATAATGCACCATGCAAGTCTCTTTTAAGAATCATAACCATAATGTAAAGCATGCCAGATTACAGATCTTAAGTTATACAAATGCACAAGTTGTGTCCTTTGATTAAACCTGGATGCTGGTACTAAATGTGATCCCAACATCAAAAAAGTATATCGTCCAAGCGTAACATAGATCGAAGCATAAAAACGACACGATTAAAAGATGCATACTATAAGAACAAATCAATCATGTAGATATTTTCAAATTGTAAAATGATTTGATCACCTCGATTATCTGCAAAGTTGTAATGGTAATGCATCCTGTTGGCCTCCAGCATCTTTGAAACCTTTTTTGCATCCTCAGAAGCCTTAAGGAAAAGATCATCAATCTGACTCAAAATTTTCAAAAAATCCACACCATTTTTATTTCCCTCCACCTTCCTTTGGCCGATTCCTTCACTCATTCCCAGTGGTGCGGTGTTTGAATGCATAAACTGCACACTCACTGGCATTTCCTCTGGCGTCTTGAACTCCTCAATCTCCTGGAGTTCTACCTGCTTCTCCTTCTCAGGGGTCTTAAACTCCGCATTTCCTCCCACGTTGTTAAAATTCTCAATCTCCTCGGACCCTGCCTGCTTCTCCGGGGAATTAACCTCCGCATTCCCTCCATCATTGTTTAGATTCCCATCTCCACCCATGTAACCCGCTCCTTCATCCTCAACATCTCTCAATGAGGACTGAGGCATATTGTCTGCAAAAAAGAAATCCCATCCCATACCTCTAATCTCCGGTGGCGTCTGCTGATTTGGGGTCTGAACCGTGGTTTTCGGGCCCACCTCCTCAACCTCTTTTTGCCTCTTAAGAAAATTTCCTTCCTCCCCCTCCTCTTCTTCACCATAAACATCACTCTCATCAACGCCAATGACCTTCAATTTCTCTGTTTTTGACAACCCCGCTGGCATGGTAACTGCCCGCTTAAGGGGCGGGGTAGGGGAAAAACTCGGTAGGGGTGGCGGCGGGAGAGGGAAGCTTGGATCCACCATGGGATGCGGCGGAGGTTGTGGAGCCGGTGGCAGTGCCTGCTTCGACCCAGATGGGCCACCGTTTAACACAGCCGCAGGAGGCACCTCGCCTACGGCATAATCGCTCAAGGCGGCGCCAGTGTTCTTGAGGGACACTGAGTACCCAGCATAAGCTGAGGCAAAAGCATTCCTCACTGAAACAACCTCTTTCATTAAATTTCTCATGTCTTTACATCTCGAAACTGACTCTTCATTGTCCACTTTCGATTGTGCACAACCCATTTTTCCCTTTTAACTTAGAATTGTTCTCGCATACAAATTACATAAACACACATTCATGCACATAAACATAGATACACAAAAAATGCATCAGATTTGAAAAGAACAAAACTACAAATAATCACGTGTACACCAGCATCATGTTGTAAATGTGTAAAACGTCTAGCAAGCTATCACCTTTATGAGATGGTGATATATAAGATAAGATTCAAAAAGATGCTTAATTTGATACTGAAAAAGGAGACAATAAATCATGACTGCTGAGAAGGAAAGGAGAAACAGACAAATTTATGCAGATAGGAGAGCACTACTTAACAGCGAAGAAAGAGAGCGCGCATAGAGTTGTGCGTGCAATTGCGGTTTTCCAAACATGAAGTATAACGGTCGCAATTTTGAGGTAAACGATGTCGTTTGGATTTTGGTGTTTGTTATTTTGAAGATATTTGAAAAAAGAAAGATATTGAATTCCATAAATATCAAATTATTGGGGTACAATTTATTTAAAAAGTCTTATGCATTTAAATTAATTAAGTTCTACAAATAGGGTTCTGGCAGCAAATAAATTTTGATTTGAATAATAAGATCGACTAACCAATATAAAGCGGATATTCGTTGAAGGAATGTATGATAGTAAGTGGATGAAAAGGGAATTTTAGGAAATAATTTTTATGACATTCGTTTTTCCATTGTTACGATATTTTCAATTCAAAATTTCTTGAGTTTATGACATTCAATTACTTAAAATATGTAAATACATAGTGGTCATTAAATTATAAAATTTCATTTGATTTCAGATTAATCAATAAATTCAAATTAATTCAAGTTGGTCATGCCATCAATATTAGGTAATTTTACTAGTAAAAAGGTGATACACAAATCTAGTTATTTTTCATTTCAACATTCATTTTATAGCATGTTTATATGCGATTTTTCTTTAGTCGT